TACAAAAAATGTAACAAGATGCAGTGTCTACTGAGAATGTTATAATTTTAAATAATTTTAAACAACATTATTTTAAGTTTGTGTATAGACGGAAAATAAAAATATTGTATCAGTGAGAGATAAGTATAATAATGGACAGTTTTGAGCTTGTAAAATACAACTGCGTATACACACAAATCCTTACATCGCCCACAGCTTAATGTACATATTATTAGCAAAGCATAGATTTTAATTGTAAATTGGTCATTTATACTAATCTGATAAATGAGTTTTTGTATTAACGTTATGGAGATGTGTTGGGCAAGGCCGTGGTCTAGGCAACACGGAGTTTTCCTCCGGGGGCTTCCCCGGTTTCTCCGTGGCATCCCAACAATTACTCCATTCACACACAGAAGAAGGCAATGGCAAACCACTTCTGGATCATCTGCCAAGAACGTATATGAACAGGTCCCAGTCCGAGAAAAGGATGGAAGGATCCTGTTCATATGGACCTGTCGTCAGACAGAACACTAAATAAATATAAAACAGATGGAGCTTGTACATGAGTTAATGACCCACCATATTTCCACCTTCGCTAATAAGAAGTTAAATCAGATAAGGCTGTCATATTCAGTATTATCTCATCACTGAATATGATGAATTAAAAATATTTCAGGTCATAATTATTTAATGAAAGCCTGAATATTTTTGCTAGTTATGATTTGCAAAATTCTCATACAGACGTACGTGTTCTTCGTAAACTTTCTGGAAAGATAAGAACGTAGTATCAGTAGACCTGAACTTTAGGTTGTTTCAAGTGACAGAGATGATTATTTCTCAACAGAACAATAATACTTTCCACCTCATATTTCAATTAATGCGTGGTATAGATCTACGCTTATTTCATTTTTATTAGTGTTGTCAGTTATTAAAATTGTATAAAGACTTCGTGATATTAAAAGTCTCATGTTGTTCTCCGATTGGAGATCCACTTATGTAAAGTCGTGTAATGTGTTTACGTCTCTTTTAACTCACCAATATTAATGTTAAGTATTTCGGGAAAAAGTTAAACATTCGGTTTTAGGGCCGTCAGTGAACACACCCACTTGAATGTCCCGTTCTAACAACGTTTGTATTACCTGGCCAGTCCGGAAGTTGCCATTGGCGAGTGTAGATTACAAAGGGGTTCTTCTCGGAACAGAGTAGGTACATACTGTGACTTCCATTGTTTCAAAATACGACAAACAGGTTACAATGTATTTACATGGATTTCTTTAGTACGGAATTGTACACGTAAATAAAGTATTTAAGTCTTTCAAATTATGTTCAAAATTCTTTGGTGGATAAATATAAATCAATTCTTTATTAGTGTCAGCAGTTTTGTATGGGAGTCAAACTTGGTCTCTCATATTAAGGGAACAACATTCATCACTTCGTACTCCGTGTCATTTAACTTGGCGTCTAACAGAAGGTTAGTATGACGTGCTCTGCTACGTATTAGCCTTCAAGTATCCAAAGCAACATTTGCCCGTGACACGCTCAGTATGTGCTGTGTGCACGTGTAAATATACAGTAAAATCGACCGAGTCTGTTTTATTTTAATCTGTGTATACCCGCAGAGTCGTCCTAATGAGTTGAGACAGAACCACAGCCATGGGATGCAGACAATACGCCCTACGAGAAAGGTACTGTAGTGGCTACCTTCTTGCCCACGACAGGCATACACAATTTTATTAAATATTTAAGCCCACGTCTCAGAAGGTAATATTTTCTCAGCCAGTCAAGACATTACCTGGCTTTTGTAGAACCTTATCGTTCCTACCATATTTTTTTTTTTAAAAAAAGAAGCCGTCTTTGTCCCGTGACAAATATCCCATTTCCTTAACATTCATTTTAATATTATCTTCAAATCCATGCTTAGATGTTCCACGTGGTCGTTTTCATGTAGGTTTCCCTGTCAGAATTTTGTTTTCAATCATCTATTTCACGCGTGCTACATGTCACGCCCATCGCATACTCCTCGATTACGTAACCCTTATAATATTCTGAACGAAGAATGCAGATTATGAAATTTGTAATTACGAAGACCTTTCCATCATCTGTTGTTTTGTTTTTCTTCCCGAATTTAATGAGTCCAAATGTACTCCGAAGCATCCAGTTCTTCAAAGAATGTGTTGTCGTTGCAGGCATGGAGAAGGGACTTGATATTCTGGCGCCAGTTTCAAGCGTCGGTGACCTGCTCGAGTATCTGAAGTGTCCTCGTTGCTCAGAGCGCATGGAACAGCCCATCGCCTTCTGTAAGAACGGACACAACATTTGCGGTGCCTGCAAGGATGCCATGGGAAAATGCCCCATTTGCGGACATCCTTTTACTGGGACAACGAACATCGGCCTGGAGAACGTGTCCGTCTGGTCCGGCGTCGCCTGCCCCAACGTCGACCTGGGCTGCAAGATCGTGTGCCCGTCTGAGCTGATGACCGATCACATTGCCACCTGCACGTACAAGAAAGCAACTTGTCCACTGGACAAATTATTGTCCATTGTTTGTCCGTGGGAAGGACTTCTCAAAGACATGGCAGCCCACTGCAGAGAATCGCACCAGAGTCGTTTTCGGGAAGGTTCAGTTTTCAAATCTTCATCCATTAACGACGCTGTGAATATTATACTAAATGATGACGAAATATTTATATACCACAAACTATTCAAGGGAGGTAAATTATACTGTGCAGTAGAGAAAGTTGGTATCTCGCAAACGCCGTATTCGGCCACCTTCATTCTGGATACATTAAGTGGGCTGGACAGAATCGCGTTAAATCAAGTAGTTAACGTCGTTTCCGAAAACACAGACGTTCCGCTAAAATCTGGGAAATTTCTTAAACTCAATGATAAACTTCTAAAAAGATTTATATGTGATGGAAAACTTGCTTTACAGGTGGTGATATCAGAAGTAAATTTAGAGACCTAATTTGTATTTTTCCACTAAAATAATGAAAATGTTTAACCTCAAAAATGTTAATACCAAAATGATTATCGAATTATTATAAATGACTAATTATTAATAAAATTTGTGCCTTATTTAATCACATGTAAATTATGTTGTAGATTTACTTGTATTTCGAAGATTCAAAAAAGTTCACACCTTTTCCATTTATATACCACATCTCCTTGTTCATTAAATTCAAACTTTATGCCTTACTAATATTAAACATAAAGCCCAAAGTTTGTTTGCAAACAAGGTTTCCTGTTTCTGTCACACAAAAACAAGGATCAAATAACTACCTTAAACACAATTGTTTCAAAACAGGACGTTTTGAAAACAGCGAGAAATTCCTATCATTGGTACACAGCTTTTTTTGTGTGTGACTGTTACAACGTACTTCAAAGGCGAATTTCAGGTACAGCGTACCGGTTTCTGAGTTTATAAATACGTATAATTAACAAAACTTTGAAATAGTGGGCTAAAATTGTTTATTACGACACACTAACTATATTTATTATATTAACAAAATTGTTTATTGTGACACACTAACTATATTTATTATATTAAATTAAATTAGAACTTGGTTTTCTCCTATGAATAACAATTCAGTTCCATACACCATTCTTTAAATTACAACGAATTTCAAGACGAATTTGTAAAAGTTTCTGGAAGATACAAGAATTAAGTACAGTATATACGCGTTAAACAGTGCATAAAGGAGGGCGTTATAAATTCAACTGTTCCCACACATTTTATTATGACGATTAAGTCAAGGTTATATAGAATTTCTTAGGAGAATTTAGAAATACATAAGCAAAATAAGGCAGTAAATCTGAAGGACACATTTCAGTTTCTAAACCGAAGCGTGAAAATAAGGATAATATTAAAATGAATATTAAATATATGAAGGTGTGGAGGGGGATATTTTGACTAGCTGAGCGTACTATTATTTTCTGAAGAAGGTATCTTCTCCACGACGTTTGTGAATAAATAAGCGGATGGGCGAGTAAGGGAAAATAACAGGGATATTGAATGGCGAAGAAGGTTGTACACATAAGTTACCACTGTGTTTGGCAGGGTTAAGTTCATCGGAATAATTTATTTAATTTATTAGATCGGGTATTCACATTAAAAAAAACTTCTTGTTTAGTTTTTACTATGCTATGAGCATCTCCGTGGTCTTTGGGTCGCGACCCACTTATACAGAACCTCTGAAAGCTTGTAATGTGTTTACTTCTCTTTCCACATACCAACATTAGTGCTGTTTTCAGGAAGGAATTCAAGCATGCGCCTTCATAGCGTTTAGTGAATACGCCCGCTCGACTGACTGTGGCAACGCTTGTGTTGTGCCTGGCCAGTTCAGAAGTTGCCATTGGTGAGCGTAGATTAGAAAGGGGTTCTTCTCGGAACGAAGCAGGTAAATGATTTAAGTTATTTTCGGTATTGTAATGTGTTACAGCCATTTCAGTCCGAAGGGAACACTTTGAATGCGTACTCAAAATTCTTTTGTGTATGAATATAATTAAATTATTTGTTTTAGCGTGCTAGCTAAACTACAGGAACCAATTACATAAATATAAAATAAATACAAATTAAAGAAAAAACATGTGCATGAACACAGTAATTATGAAAATACGGTAATTACCTACTGACCGATTTAAATAAAATATTTATATATATATTTATTTTCACAGTCTATACACAAACGTTGTAATTAAATGATGTTGTTAAAATTATATAATATTAAAATATTTATGTTAAAACTACATTGTGAAACACGTTAAGAATAGATCTGTTGCTGTTATTATTATATTAGTAGCAGTAATTAATAATTATATTATTATTATTATACAAGGAAAATTTGACGATGGATGCTGGTTGTTACTAGAGTAACCAATTTGGGATTTCATTCAGTTATCTTCTCTTAGAGGCTAAAAGAGAATCTTATGGATGCTATTGAGGTTTTTATTTATTCTCAACCAATCTTTAACAGACCGAATAAATATTTTATCGGTTGGGGCATTATAATCCGTGTCTACCCCAAACAGTCTCCATATTAACTTATTCACGATCTGAGACAAGCAGTGTACAACAAACAGGACTATCAGAAGTTTCTAGAGTCCAGATTCCTACTAAATTAACACATGTATGATCCACTACTGTTTACTTGTCATAGATCAGTCTCGAAACTTGACTAATTTACTGCCCTAAACAGTAGAGATGATTAACTTCGTACGTTATTTTGTAGGGTTACAATTCACTCACTGTCTCTTACGAAGAGAAAATTATATACAGATTTCTCGAATAACAAAAAGCAAGGAATATAGTTTTGCATGAAACATTACAAATAACATGGCAAAGATGTACCTTTATCAATATATTCGACACCACTTTCATTATATTGATCATGTTGCAGGGTTAGCGTAAGATATGTAATTTTTGGGTCACAGGTGCCAAACATTTTTTCGTCATACAGTTATAATAATAATAATAATAATATTTTAAAATTCTGGAGCGACACGTCTTGACCAACTGTATGGCTGCCTTCAGACTCTCCCCAAAATATAATTAAAATAAACGAAATTTGTTGTTATTGTTGCTGCAGTAATGTGTAGGAAGAAACTACAATCGACGACCTGCGTCGTCATGAAATACCTGACGTACGTTTAAGATGACATATACATTAGAACACAGGATTGTATCCATCATAACAGCACTTGCAGGATACATGAGAAAATTCATCGCGTTATGTTTCCAACCTGCAGTATTCATTCAACATAAGCAGATGAATCTTAACACGACAGTATCTGACCCGCTTGGGTAGGGTGCAGAACTCTAGGGGGTGGTATTGCCCACTGGGTACATGAACGTGTTTCTCGGAGATCCTGCATTATGACAATAAAAATATCGATCATGAAATTAGTAAATTCAATTTCGGTAAAGGATTATTGGGTCACACCATAACATAATAATATTCTGATTACTGACTGGATGTGTATTTTATTCTGCAGGAGAGAGTACCGGACATCAGACGTCCAACGAGTAAATATGGAAGGAAGTTCTGAAGATGGCACACAAACCCCGAAATTATTCGTCGACATCGATGAAGCTATGCAACCGAGATATTGTTCTGACGAAGTGGAGGACATCAAGCGAATGCTCACTCTCACAGAAATATCCATAGACAGTATTTTACGGAGACGCAAGGAAGAGAGGTACGCCAGATGCAAACCATCGAACAGGATGTGTCTCTCGTCAAAACATGGTTCAGCTGAAAGGGATCGCGGCCTGAAATTCACATCGCAGGAGGGGAAAGTTTATACTTTGGAATCACTGTTGACGGATCTGGACACATTATTAATACTTCTCGAAGTTGATGGATTATGTACACGGATCAATCTTGAAACTACGCAGTTTCTTGAGCAAGACGTCTCAGAAATTGAAAGCGTTGCCGTGAAACTCTCGGAGATGCATTTAAAAGTTCCTGCCAATATAGCTGAAATCGGAAGGAACGCCGATTCGGTACTGCCATTCTTAGAAGATCCTAGTACCGCACTAAAATACAGAGACGAGGTCACATGGAAAACATTTTGGGCTGTAGACGAATTGCTGTGTATTGCCGAACACATCAAATCAACTATCGACGCCTCACTTGAAAGGCTAAAATTTGCCGTGGAATACAGAAGACTTCTGAAATCCATGCGCCACTATCTAGTCCGCTCCAAGAAGTATCCCCACGAATCATTACGAATAAAATATGTGTTCGAGGACATGGCAAAGAGTAAGAAGGATCAGGCACGCATGGGCATTGAAGTGCATGAAACAGCAACGCGCATCGCCAAAACATTGGTAGGAATCGCTGCTCAAATATCTGGGCAGGTACTTCAAGGCACTGATGCAGACAGAAAACTGTCAGCCACATTGCTGGAGAAACACAATACGGAAATGAAATCCACAACTCTGGCGGAGACTAATTTTAGTGGGGCAGCAAATTCCGTACGTGGAGTCCGCACACAACTTCCGGACACTGCAGAAGGAACAGCGGTCACTGGGCTCAAGGGCTCGATCAGAACCACTGCGGAGTATGCACAAGATGTAGCCGAGGCACGGGATTCAGCTCATGAAACCATCACCTTCGAAAATGAAGGAGATGATAACGGAGAAATCGCTCCGAAGAATGAGTGTGAGGGCATTGAACCAACCGTTCTAGAGGGTGGAGAAGTCGATGGAAAAGAGACGGATAAAAAGGTAACCATCAAGGATCTTAAAAACCATGCAGACGGAACTGTTTTGAAAGATTAATTGATTGTTAATTGGTTGGAAATCTCCCAGATAAATCACACCTTTATCAACGAGTCTGGCCGGTCGAAAAAATGTGTGTCACAGGAAATCATTCGGAAACCGTAGAAGATTAATTGAAAACTGAGAAAAACATGACCATCTATCTATAAACTTTCCATGAACCACATTCTGAAACGAGTCAGATTTAAGAAATCATTATTATTGTCGGTAAATGTGTGCTCTGTAGTATCAGACGAGTCAGATTTAAGAAACCATTATTATTGTCTTACGTCGGTAAATGTGTGCTCTGTAGTATCAGAGGTACATGCGTTTGTGGTTCGGAGTTACTGAACTGCGGTGTCTCTAATTGCCCTTTTCTCAACCTGTGGTTGCTTTTCGGCGAGAATACACGGATCGTCACTGATTACGCCAGGCGCAACAGATTTGACAACGCGGACTTTTCTCAACCTGTGGTTGATTTTCGGCGAGAGTACACGGATCGTCACTGATTATGCCAGGCGCAACAGATTTGACAACGCGGATTATGCAAATATACATTTCTATATTAATATTTTGTTAAAATTATAAAAAAAAATAAGATTTATGATATGAGGAAATATTAATTGTAATTTTGATAGAGGAGTGGGCAAATTATTGTAATATATGTAACCTTTTGTAAGTAAGGCATACTGACGTATATTAGGTACGCAGATGCTGCTGTATGTTTTTGAAGTCTTAAATTGCAAATAAAAATTGAAGAGTTGAATTGCAGTTTGCGAATGTAGCTATCAAACAAATGGTCTCAATTTAATGTCGAAAATATTACAGAAGACCTGTTTCTCCTAATCCTTCACCTTGATACATCGTCCATTGCAGTTTCTGTAAAGTACATTAAGTAAAGTATACTGTGAAAGAAAGGGGGGTTTCCAAAAAGATTGCATTACAGGGCAATGAAGGGAAAAAATGACAAATTTAGAGCACTACAATTTTAATTTGATTTGAGGTGATCTTATGGGGAAAATGTACCGAGATACCATAACGCAAAATATCAATTTCCGATTAACATTTTTGGTCGTTTTCCATCAGTCAGTCTTACAGACAAGGTTTACAGATTCTTTATAATTTCAATTACTTGAATTCACCGGTAGTCGACATTAACGTTCATCAACAAATTGTATATTTTACACATTTAATTCAATAATTTCAGAAATTATACTTTCTTAGTTTCACTTTTAAGAAATTAAATTCTGTAATCGATAACACAATTTAAGTTAGCCCTGTGCCATGTATTAGCTTGTGTTGGACCTGTGAGCAGATGGGTATGCAATCGAATCTTGTTCTAGTGTAAATTCCCCGTTGTTTGATGAAGCCGCTTTAAACTGCAAAAAATTTGACTGTCCGAAAACATGTAGGTATATATCTTCTGATGATCTTTCATCATATATCATTTTATGAGCCTAAATTAAGTAGTGTTAGTGTCACTCACACGACAGACGTTCCAGCATCCACCATGTCGCAAATAATAATAGAAAAATTTATGCTTTTGTTAATTTAATAATGCATACTTAATTCCTTGAAACATGAAGTCGATCTAAATATTAAAAGTTTCAGTTTCAAATGTCTCCTGATAAACCACATAATTAATGAACGTTGTTTATTCTGAGAATCATAAGAAATCCATAAAAATACTGTGGAAAAAAACTGCACAGAAATCTTTTATAAGTTTAACTGCTGTGCTTTGAGTCTGTCAATGGTATTCTATTTACCCCCAACCCCCCCCCCCCCCCAAGCACCAAACTGAATGCGGAACCTTTCGGAAAAGATTATGAACAAGTGCCTTTAGAGATGTTATTGAACATACCAACTTGATAATCCGCATGCTCTAATGTACGTACTCCTGGCCAGTCCAGAAGCTTCATTTGTCGACTGTAGGTCTACAGGCCTTTCCTGAGACAATCAGGTAAATAAAATACTGTACACGAAGCAATACGTCCAGTTCTTTGAAATATTGCCAATAGGATTATAATGTTTTTAGGCTTTTGATGTCGAGGGATAATATACATTAAGAAATTGTACTTCAGTCTGAAGAAAACATTTTAAAAGTATCTGTAAAATTCTTTACTGTGAAATACTTTCATTCAATTAATTTATTTACGTGATTGGCAGTTTTCATAACAGTCACAACACTTACTAAAACGAGTGGGTAAAACAGACTCGACATGTACCAAGTAATTTGCAAACAATTATTTAGAAATGTAAACTATTATTATTATTATTACTACTACAGTTATTGGGTCCATAAAACGCACTACATACGAGGTGAAGGTTTGCTGATGTCGACTGCGCATGCGCTATGTTGCTATGGCAACTGGTTTGTTTTTCGCGCCCGACCGGAGGTTAATTTTTGAATTGCCCTCGTATTACAGGAGCAAAATGTATCGATAAAGAAAAGATTTTATTTTTCTAGCGGAACCGGTTTGGTGTCTTATTCAGTTATTACCTCTCACAAAAAGTCAGAAAAAGCCTTATGAACAGTATTGTACTTCGGTGTTGAGCTATCCTCAAGCAATCTCTGAGGGACTGACGCAAAAGGATTTTAGCATTGTGATTCTATCTTTACGTCCATATCAGAAGCCGATTTACGATCTGTGCCAAGCATTTCAAAACAAGCAAAACTACAAGATATGTAAACCACTATAGCTTGCTTGCCAGGAGCTTCTCCCCAGATACATTCGTTTACTCTCAACATTTCGGTGAGTCACACTGTTATATCGAAAATTAAGAGATCTATTATTTATACAAATGTTAAAAAATTTTCAGTCCGTACACAGCAGCTTCTAACCTACAGCTTTCCTTTCCACAAATCAATTTTAATGTAAAAACAACTACACAAATTACAAACTTTACTTTGATTCATCTTACAACAAACTGGTTTGTTATTGAAGATTTCTGTCTTCTGGGTTATTGCGCTGGGTAGTCTGGTCGATGTTAACTAACGTTTCAGAGGTCATACTGCCTCCGTCATCAGGGCCCTGATGACGGAGGCAGTATGACCTCTGAAACGTTAGTTAACATCGACCAGACTATACAGCGCAACAACCCAGACGACAGAAATCTTCATACTCTGATGACGGAGGCAGTATGACCTCTGAAACGTTAGTTAACATCGACCAGACTATACAGCGCAACAACCCAGACGACAGAAATCTTCATACTCACCGCTGTGAGAACCTCAAGTCTTACATGGTTTGTTATTTATTCCCACGTAAGGAAATCTTGTTATGAGAACAAATTTGCTTTCTGTTCACTGAATACCTTCTATCCCCCATTCCAAAATTCAAGTGGTCTCTTTCAGAGATATTTCCTAATAAAAATTCAGAAATTGTTTCTAACATTCGCGCTAAAGGACAAAATGAGGTGCATCGTATAGCCCTAATGACACTACCACAGGGACACTAAGAAAACAATACAAACACAACCTTCCAACTTTACGACCTTGAAATACAAGGACCTTCTCATTGAAACACAGCGAATGTGGAAAGTGAAAGCTGAAATAATTCCAATAATTATAGGAGCAATTGGAACTGTCTCCAAGTTACCTAGAAAATATTTGGCCAGCATTCCTGGCGAACACGACATCAGGGGACTTCAGAAAACCGCCATTTTAGGATCTTCATACATCATTCGAAAGACGCTGTCGTAAAATATGTAGTAATATCTAACACTAAAACTATATAATACATGTAACACGTATTAAAAACAAAATGTATTTCGGAAATAGCTGCTGCCCTATGTACCTTAGGGACAAGGTCTGTCTCGGGTACATGGAAGTACATACCCTATAAAGTGGTGAATACATGGGATATAATAATAATAATAATAATAATAATAATAAAACGACAACTCGATAGAACATTGCTCTCGCTTGCTTCTGTTCACTCCGTGACACCTGTAGTTAAATTAAGGGGATTAATTACTTTTGTCGACATTAATAATACCGCATGTTGTTGAAACGCAATTATTCTAACGCTTCAGTAACTACGATGAAATTCATAAGAATTCCGAAGGAAGTGAAAAATACACAACACGGAGATTCCGATACTCGGAAAGACATTCCAGAACCTTTCCCGTTAGAGACAGATTTAGCACAAGACTTGAGTGCTGTAGAATACTATGTAACTGAAATGAAATAGTTACTCAAAAGGAATAATTAGCATTTTTGTTACAGAATATACTACTCATAAGACGCTGCTGGGTTAAGTACATTATTAAATTAAATAGCAATTAAAATCTAACGCAGGTATGAACGTACCTTTGTAAACTACGCACATATTTATTGTACTAATTTTACTACTACTTATTAAAGCGTTGGTAATGAATGCAAATATGAAAATGTTGGATTCAACTTTCTTAATGGAACCTTAAAGGTACAATTTGGCTGCACGCGATAGAGACAAGCGACCGAGGCAGGCGATAGAATTGCGAGACCGAGACTGGTCGCTTCCTGTCTGCTCTCTGTACAATCGTATGAAGTACAATTACGAGCGCGAGACAAAGACGGGCGACAGAGACAAAGCACAGGAGACCGCTCTCGGACCAGTAGTGTCTCGCGACGGGCTCAGGCAGCACGTGTGTTGTTGAGTAAAATAATGGCAGAAATTAAATTTACTGGTGACCAAGATGAGCAATTGGTAGAATTAGTAGCAGAAAACCGACCACTGACCACCGACAGAAAGATCCTTCTTCACGTCTGGTTTTGAATATTGAACTCATAGGTTTTCTTTGTTTCTTTCGCAACAAATAACACAGCAACACATCATCTTCTTCGAGTAACCTTTTTAGAAGCATTTTTGTACTCATTTTTCACAGAATATGTGCACGTATGTCTCAACAAAACAAAGAAAACAAACACTTTGCCGCATGTCTCGGTCGTCACCTCAAAAGTGTGTGGCGACAAGCTGCGATGTGTCCGTCTCCCGTCTCTGTCGCCTGCCTCGGTCGCTTGTCTCTGTCGCGTGCAGCCAAATTATACCTTTAGACAAATTATCTTGTATCTATTAAAATAATAATAGAAATTATTAAATTATTTCTCGTGCAGTTTTAATATGTGTGTACTTTTGTTCTCTGTGTTTAAAAGAAAGTTTCACAATCGAAGTCTGAAGGTTTCTGGCTGTTAAAATCTTATTTTGGACTTCGTTCCTCGTCCATCGTCCATGTTTGAGACTGGGGCAACCAGGGAGGGCACGCATACAAATTAAACTTTCGTCGTCCTTTAACCTGATGACTCATTTGAGGATTTGAGGTTTTCACGGCAGTGACAACGAAGATGGCTGTCTTCTGAGTCATGGAGCCGTGTAGTCTGTAAAAGTTTACGAACGTTTTAGAGTCTTTGCTGCCTCCACCATCAGGGCTAATGCTCATCTCCCTGACGATGGAGGCAGCAATGACCAAGGCCCTACAATCCACAAGGCAGTCATCTTTGAACATTTGTATTTGCCGGTGGTTAAAACACATGATGCAAGTGCTGACGCACTTTCGCAACGTCGCATATTACACATGCGCACAGCCATGTCTTCCCCCTCCACGTCGCTAGCCTGTCGTACTGCTGATTGCCTAACGTACAGTACTGAAGACGACCACATAAGACGTTCGCTTGTGTTGGTTCTCACAGTCGAAGTGGATAGATACGCTGCTCGTGGATCATCTGAATCGGTCACCGAAGTAGTGAAGCAGGTAATTTGCTGATGCACAACATTCTAACTCGATAGAAACACGCGTTTAAAAACTTAAAAAACACAAGAGCCGCATTTTATAAAATTAAGTAAAGAAACATTTCAACTTCATTAATTTCTTATTCACGTATTTTCTCAAAATTCTGATGCTACCGTAAACTTCTGGAAACGTAACAAGGATCTTTTGCAGGAGAAAAAATGAAATCTTTATCGGGTAACAAAAGGAATCGAATGTGTCTCAAGTGTTAGGGGCCCATATTTTTCGGATTCAGTGGTAGATTCAGAACGATGAACTGAAAAAAAATATTGCAGTAACCTATTTGAAACGTGCCCGGCGCTAGCCTGGAGAGACTGAGGAAAAAAAGTAAATACTATTATAGTTTCAAATTAGAAAACGACTCCCACCAATGAGGTAATTAAAATGCAAAATATTCGAGAAATAAATTTTCTTTCCAATTTTGTTTGTAAAAATTTATTTATTTTACTTTCAATTACTCGTATCGTTTTTGAGATATTCTATAAAATCCGTTCAGAAGCTCACACATCGATATCGTAATAACACCTGATAACAACAAACGTGTGCAAAAGGTTGGTCTAATTTATTGAAATAAGTGCATAGAAAACAGTGTTTTGGCGAGGCTTTGATGAAAAGATCGCTTCGTATTCTCAGAAAGTAAGTAAGTAAACCCAGTGAAGTTTTCTCGGGCACAGAAAGCGATTTCATTTTCAACAGTGACGTCGGGGACCACAGGCTTTCTTACAGATGGACGCATTCTCATGACACGAAGTATCGTGACGAAAAACTGCAGACAAGCATAGGCAGTTCACGAAAATAACAAACTACAAGATTGCCTGAAGTCTTGTGTGTGTACTGGATAGGACGCACACTCGCCTAACGCGAAACAACTTGTCACTGACCTCGGACTTCGACAAAACTGTAAACAACAGATTCACTCACATATTTCAAATTCCAATTTCGTGTTCGATTTTCGACAGCTGGCAGTCCTCGCTGATTTCTACAGCCCTTCCAGACACGTGGTGGAAGACTAAATTTACCCCCCACATACAGTTGACGCTCTGCGTCGCTTCAAAAAATGTTCATTGCTGAAGATACTAAGAAAGGAGAATTTCTCTAAGTCTTTGATTAAAATAATCTCTAGTTACACATTCTGACAAAATCACTTGCAAGCACACGATTTCTACGTTAATTTTCTTAGTGCAAATGCGTACAGTATAAGATTCGAAGCTTCTACAATGACTGAGGTCAATGATGTGTTATAGAGAAATCATTCGTGTGAATATAGGAAGGTACGATCAGGGATGGGTGACTTGAGACTGTTTTCGAAACTTCGGAAGTTCATTCCATACTGACACGGTTGATCGCCCTACAAAACTTCACTGCAAATAAAAATATTATGGTTTCGCAGTTTCTGACGCGTAACTGTTCTACGACTTTGTTTGTTTTGCATTCCAATATCGTTATAACCAAAGAAATTAGTGCAGAGATATAACCCATCTCCAATAATAACGATATGAACAATAGTCTGTGCATATAATAAAAAAGTGTTGGTTGATTGGCTTTGATTATTTTTTAAAATCACTATTAGACTTCTGGACAAATATGAATGTAAGCGTGTCTCTGCAACATAAGATTTATATATTCTCGTCATAATTGCTTTCTATCATGCATTAAGTAGAGATGCTCAATAATTATTTAAATAATTCCATGGGAACCGGTCCTTGTGTAGCTACATTCATTCAACTACTTAAAACCCCCAGGCATTACCTTGTAAGGTAGTTTCATTATCTTCTTCGCAAGATCCCACCAGTGGTCCCTATCACAAGCCAGATTAATCCAGCCCACAACCTACAAATGTATTTCAGTAACACCCAGTGTAATATAATCCACCCATCTACTCCTAGGTTTTCCAAATGATGTTCTGATTTCAATAAAGTGACTGTACAACTTTATTTTCCCTAGAAAGCCAACAAACATCGCTAGAACCAGGATTTTTCGCCGAAACAAAACTACCAATGAACAAGCTGCAGGGTGCCGCTACACAGCAGATGGAGGTCTCCACTCTGAAAATGGAAACTGTTACACCTGTCTCAGCATCCAGTGAACTGAAAGGTGGCTTCGGACGCGACACAGACAAGTTGGATGCTATTTCACAAAGTCCTCTGGTCGAAAAGAATGGTAATTCTTCCGCATCTTCTGCACAACTTAAAGAAAATACTGATCAAAGTTTATCAGCTGTCAAGAAATACCCTGCTTCTGTCAGGCCCCGGTACGTGACGCCACAAGTAAGCATTTCGGAACGAGATTTAACAAATGACCAGAGGCACGAAAAATTTTCGGATATCGTAACTAAACTAGATGCAATTCATAAGGGCTTGAAAGGAATGAGGATTGCCATTGAACAAATATTTCCCGATTACATTGCCGAATTATTACACGAAGAAACCACTCTTCGTGAAGATAATGTTGAAGCCTCTGGCACGCCAGACAAAGCAGACGAAGGTACAGGCACTGACAAAGAAATATTTGTTAGAATTGAAACTCTGAAAGAGACATTCAACAAGATAATTTCCAATTATGGGAAACACGATACTCATAAATCAGAAATAGAGGCTCTAATGAAAGATCCCAAAAATGTTGTATTTCTGAAGAAAAATTCCCAGGTAGTAGAAGACTTGAAGGCAGAAGACGACGACGCCGACAGCACTTCGCCATCGTCAGGCACCGCTGAAGAATTCGCGCCGGAGTAATTTGAAGTGTCTTCAAGAACACGTCTGAAAGATTATAAGCCCAGAACAACCACTTAGTTGAAATGTCTGTCAACAAACCACGTCCAAGCCAGCAGAAAGTTCAAAAACAGATTCCCACAAACAACCAAAAACTTCTCAACGGGACACTTCGCTCTTTTGATTTGTGGGGTAATCGGTTTTCAGTGAAAACGCTTTTCAAAATAATAATAATAATCCAGAAAGGTTTGCTTGTTTATTAATAAAAAATTGAAGAGACCCCCCCATACGAGGAAGACCCCTCCCGTGACGTAAGTTTTCACTGAAAACCGAAACTTCAGAAAAATAGCCAAGCTCTGGCAACTACAAGTATACCGAATTGGGTGCAAAGTTAAAAGTAACCAAAAATCTTATTTGTCTCGGCAGTGCCCCTGATCTCGATGTGCTTTGACGTGCGTTTCATAATACAACTTTTTGTTAGGCAGAAATAAGGAAAATGTGATCGTAAGCTTAAACTATTTTATGAAGATATAAAATGATGTATATTTGCAGTACGTGCAATAGTGTAACTGTGTGTATATTGTGTAACCTGGAATTTCATGTTTAATAAGAAATAAATGCAAAATGAACATAGTCTTAATTTTTTTTCATTACAGTGAAGCCTATTTAAATATTAAGCAGGTTTGATGTTTACAGTATTCACTACTGGGGAGCTGATAACAAATATCATATGACTAATATAGTTAAAATGAAATTGTATTTTTTTTTTTACTTTTAAGTATCCAAACTGTGCGGAGTAGTCCTCATTTGAAACCTAACAGTCGCTCAGCTGGTCAGAAAGTAGTCACACTTATTATGGAATTTGAAAATTCAATACAGTTTTCTTTGAGTCCGCCAGTAGATCCTGAATCAAACTAATAAAGCCTGTCTCCCTCTGACATCTTGTATCTTTAAAATTTCATGGCTGTTTCTAAGCATACGCGTTTTTTTATTTATGTTCAATGAAAGGACGTCTTTGAAGAGTCTCAACCCCTTCAACTTCTCATCTACCTCATTCATGCTGCATGATCACCCATGTCTTACTCTTGTAGTCGCACAGATAATACCAACATCACTCCTCTCTCACATTCTTCTCATTTGTCATCAAAACTGTATAAGCTCAACCTAAACATAGATGGCGATCTCCCGGGTTCTTTTGCCGACGCAACATAGCCGCGAAAATCTCAACTCCTACATTAACCTAAACATCTGGTACAACGCCATTAAATAAAGAAATAATTAAACTCACCCCTTCACATTTCAATGGTAAATATCGATTTTGACTTAATAATATTGGACCCAACTAAGTCGATTAGCGTACTTTGTGGTCCTTAGATCTGATTGGCTACCATTATCATTCCCGATACCTTCGCTCTGCTTGTACTGTTTACAGTTCAGTACAGTTGTCAGCAGCTTAACTGAGGGGTGAAGACGTTCTGGCCACTCCCGCAGGTACACCCTGGACCGGTTCTTGCCCTCATACGAAATTAAAGGTTAGTCAAAATGCAACGATTGGGGTTCAGTGCTCGTAAGGAAGGTTTACAAGTTCTCTCTCTTGTCAGTATGACGTCACGAGAAGCTGTATCGTGATGCAAAGACATCGAAAGGCATCGGGCTTCACCGTCAAGCCCTCTGTAAATAAACAATTTTCTCGATACTGAATAATATAAGCCTTATAGTACAGCAAAAATACCTTAAATGCTTTCTCATTATCAAAGTCAGAATGGGAAAATGTTTCTTGAAGACATGTCAGTATATAGGAGTGTACAAGAGTGAAGTTTGTTTCATTGTGGGTATCGTATTTACACAAAATATAGACCTGTTCTTCCAGAAGTTTCATTTCTCAAACAGATTTCTGTTACTATAAAAAAAAAATTGTGATTCCTCGTCTTACTATAAAAATTTGTGATTCCTCGTCTTACTATAAAAATTTGTAATTCCTCGTCTTCTACTATAAAAATTTGTGATTCCTCGTTGTCTTCAAGAAATGACGTCATCAACAAATAACGCTTCACTACCAAGCCCGTCGCATTCTTAAAAATTGACTGACAGTTGGCCTAAAATATCAGAAAAGTGAACGAAGACGTTATCAAGTATTTGAATTACCAACTCCAACAACTCCTACAAGGTAAACTGATACTCATTCGATATATTACGATTACGAAAACTATTATGAAAACTGATTTTATGATCGATTTTAATACGAAGATTTGCAAGGGTGGGGCTGGACGTAGAAAGTTGACTGACCAAGAACAGTTGGCCTCTGAACAGCGATGTAAAGAAGTAAATTATCAGATTAGAGAAAGCGCTCCGAAAGGAGAGCGTTCCTGTAGTATATTAAATTTGGTATCACACAACTATCTTACCAGTAGAAGTGCATGGGTCTGCATGAATCTCAAACTTAACCCAATTTTCTGAAATACAACGCTTCTATTTTAGTTAAATCTGTAAGTCGGCTTTGCACGATGAGTTAGTGATCGTACAATTAATTAATAAGCAGCATGAACTACGGATGTAATTAATTAATTAATTAATATACACGACTTCTATATGAAACATGACTGAGGGTAAAACCTGAAGAAACAAATCACTTAGGAGGCGTCAGGGCAGATGAGAGTATGATATTAAAATTGTCTGGAAGGACTCGTAGGGTGGGATGTAACAAACCGGATTCGTCTGGCTTAGGATAGGGATCACCGGCGGCTTTTGCGAACATGGGAATGAACGTTCGGTTTCCATGAAAAGAGAATATTTTTATGTGTTTGTCAATAATGTTTTAGCTTCATGATATTAGATGTGCAAGGGTTAGTTAGTAATGCTATTAATGTCTATAAAATCGATCCACAGATTTTTGCGGATTCTTATATTAGTAACCAAGATGGAAGACCTCAACCAAGGGCTTCTGAGCGTCCTGGAATGTATGCACTGTCGACAGTACATGCTGCCTCCTATAGTTTCATGCGAGAATGGACATCACGTGTGCAACGACTGCAGGGCATTTCTGGCGACATGTCTGGTATGCTACAGACCTTATCTGAACATCAGAAACTCCCTTCTAGAAAACCTAGCCAGGACTTCAGTGTTCCCCTGTGATAAACAACCTTACGGCTGCAAAGAAATTGTACCCATGGATGGTGTAATGGATCATCAGAGAACCTGCCCTTACAGCAACTACACTCGATGTCCCTACGCAGTGTTGCCTACCCAGATATGTACGTGGCAGGGTCCGTTAACAGACGTCCGGTGTCACATCCACAAGTACCATGAGATAAATATATGCGATGTCGGAGGAAAGTTTGTGTCGAACCTGCCACATCTACGACAAAATAGAGGACTTTCTCATCAGGTTATTTTCACCTTGAATGAATTATTTTTCTGTCTTTGGGAGATGGTGGAGCATGATTTTTGCTTTTCCGTATTTTACATAGGACCGAACTTCAAGGCCAGATATTTCAAATACAATCTCACAGTGTGCACAACACTAGGCCAGGAGGCGTACTCCAGGAATTGTTGTAGAATTAGGAACTTGGACGAAAGAAACGATTGCAGTAGAGTAAGTGACTACGTCATGATTCCTTTCAGTCGCATCAGGAGGGTACTTCATTTAAGTGAGAGAAACCAACTGCAATATTCAGTAGACATTTTCAACGCTTCAGTGGTACGAGTACAGTGAAGTTCAGATTAACAGACCAATCACTTTAAAAACAACAGAACAATACATCAGGTGTGTTAATAATAAAATAAAATAATTCTAAGTCCTCTTTTAGACAGAACTTTTATACGTGGTGTCTAACACAAAATGAGATTCTTGGACAAATATGTTTGAGGTACCACTGTTTTAATTTGTAAGTTCTGAGTTTTTCGAGGCAATTTCAATTTCTTATTGGTCGCGACACCGAAAAGTCGTGTGATTTCCGACGTTTCGGAGGGAGGACGCATACTAAATAGGCCCGTTTGTGTAATTATCTCTGTAACCTATGGTTCATAATAGTATTTCAGTGTCTTAGATTGTAAATTTTATGAACTGCTCAGTCACTTAGAAGGAAAAAAAATTAAGGATTTTTGTCGCAGATAAATTAAGGCCCTGACAACATGAAGTTAGTTGACATTACAAATCATGAAATTTTGTGTATTTACCCATATAATCTAAGTTAAATAAAAACATGCAAGAATGATCAATGGTATAATTTGTTGTGTAACTAGTCGTAAGAGTGGCATTTCTTTACAACATAAATCAGCGGTCAACAATATAAGGCCCGCGGGTCGCAGTGGTCTGTCATAGATTTCGCTACTGAAGAAAAAATATACACACACACACACACACGTTAGCTTAGTGTAAATCCAAACAATCTAAAAAAAATGCATTTTAATTTGTAGATGAAGATGAAATCATATTACTGACAGAATGTATGTTGTTCCGTTGTTCAAACTACATGACTTTTGAAAAAGAATGGAAATTGCTATATTATTAATAAATGAAATTTTACAAAATTAAAAATGGCCTGACATAAAAAATGTCTTGAAAGCAAACGAACAACGTCTTTACTGTAATTTCAGTTGAACAGAGAAATACGACACTGTCCACTAAATGTACGCATTATCAAAGAGAACAGATTCACTACTCCAGGCCTACAAGTCCCACAAAACAACTTCTGTGGTAAGTCTCGTGCCGGTTGCATACTTCGGAAACTCTGCCTTGTTGACTGATGACGTAAACTATACGATTATACAGTACTGTATCTACAGCCTCTCCCTTGCCTTCTCTGCTCCCCTCCAGAGCCGTCGTACAATATAAACATGCACGAGCGACCTCAGACGAAATCGACACTCCTTGGGCAGACTGAGCACAGGTAGGAAAGACGTCTATTGGAGGTAGCGGTGTAAGTCCGAGGAGCAATGAGCTTATTGACTAGTGAATGTGCATTACAGGTATAAATAATATTAAGGTAAATAGGAACGCAATTTCAACGTGTTTGTTGTGTTTCGTGAACAAAATGTACGCGTAATGCTGAAAAAGTATTGAATTCCATAAACCATTATTTTAAATGTGAGTAAACCAGAATGTAATTAATTCTAGGTTATAACGCAGTGTATTATCATAGATGTTTACCGACGTTTCAGAGGTCTCTGCTGCCTCCATCGCCAGGGGACGTCTGAAACGTTTGTAAACTTCTACACTTTTCGACTACAAGACTCTAAAACCCAGAAGATTTCGTACTCACCGTCGGGAGTACATCAAATCCCACTAAACTTCGTTCATTTATCATACGCAGTTTCTTATCAGTAAGAAACAAAAGCTATAATTTTAGTCTGGTGCATATTTTAACACTTAATTTCTCAATGTTTTGGGAGCAATTAT